ATGGAGCTACATCATGTTACGGTGGAAATATTGGATATGAACGATCATTCGCCAGTTTTTCCTAAAGATGAAATTTATCTTGAAATAAGCGAATCGGCCACACCCGGTGCTCGTTTTCTATTGGGAAGCGCAGATGATCCTGATGTGGGTATGAATAGTATACAAAAGTATGTCATATCACAGAATGATAATTTCGTTTTGAAAGAGCATGCACGACCAAGTGGGGTTAAATATGCTGAAATGGTGCTTCAGAAACCTCTAGACAGAGAACAACAGCCATTGCTTTCTCTTATTGTCACAGCAGTCGATGGAGGAAACCCAGAAAGATCTGGTAATATGAAAATAGAGGTCACTGTACTAGATGCAAATGACAACGCGCCAGTATTTAACCAGTCCGTTTACAGGGCAGTAATAGCAGAAAATGCACTCAAAGGAACGTTTATAACCAACGTCAATGCAAGTGATGCCGACAGTGGTGCAAATGGATTATTTTATTATAGCTTTGGTAATTTGAAAGTCATTGGTGAGATTTTTAAAATGAACGAAAGCAGCGGTGTTATTACTCTTAATGGTGTGCTTGATTACGAAAAAGCAAAGAAATATGAATTTGATATTGAAGCAAAGGATCAAGGCGGATTAGGCGATTCTGCTAAAGTAATAATTGACTTAATTGATGTTAATGACAACGCACCTGTTGTAAGTGTCATGTCATTTTCAAGTCCAGTGGCTGAAGATGCACGTATTGGTACAACCATCGCGATATTTAGCGTAAAAGATGTAGATGCAGGAGATAATGGCCAAGTTGACTGTACTGTTGATCGAAATTCTCCATTTAAACTACAGTCTTCACTGCGGAATTATTACACTTTAGTCACTGATGCTGCTTTAGATCGTGAGCGTGTGGCAGAATATAATATTACAATCACAGCTACAGATTCAGGATCTCCTGCTCTATTCAGTCAGAAAACTTTGAATCTGAAAGTATCAGATGTTAATGACAATCCACCCAGGTTTCAAAAGAGTGTTTACACTGCATTAGTCACAGAAAACAATTTACCTGGTTTGTCCATATTTACTCTAAGCGCTAAAGATGATGATTGGAACCAGAACGCTCGTATTTCATATCTTCTAGAAGATACTTCAGTGGGTGGATCCCCTGTTTCCTCTTTTATATCAGTAAATGCTGACAGTGGAGTGGTTCACGCTCTGCGCGGTTTTGACTATGAGCAAATGAAAAGTGTTCGCGTTTGTGTAAAAGCACAAGATGGAGGCTCTCCGCCCCTCAGCACTAATGTGACTTTGGATATTATAATCCAAGACCAGAATGACAACGCTCCTCAGGTTCTGTATCCAGTACAGACTGGCGCTTCAGTGGTGGCTGAGATTGTGCCTCGTGCTGCAGATGTTGGATATCTGGTCACTAAAGTGGTGGCTGTTGATGTGGACTCTGGTCAGAATGCCTGGCTCTCCTATAAACTCCAGAAAGTTCCAGACAGAGCGCTGTTTGAAGTGGGCTTACAGAATGGAGAAATAAGAACTGTGCGACAAGTGACTGATAAAGATGCTGTCAAACAAAAACTCACTGTTGTTGTGGAGGATAACGGACAGCCCTCTCGCTCAGCTGTGGTCTCCATTAACGTGGCTGTGGCTGACAGCTTTCCCGAAGTGCTGTCAGAGTTCACAGACTTTACGCATGAGAAACAATATAACGACAGCTTAACTTTTTATTTAGTTCTGGCTCTGGCCGCTGTTTCTTTCCTATTCATCACTTGTGTGGTTGTGATAATATCAGTTAAAATCTACAGATGGAGACAATCTCGCTTCCTCTATCAGTCCAATCTGCCTGTTATTCCGTACTATCCACCGCATTACGCAGACACAGGAGTCACTGGAACTCTGCCGCACGGCTATAATTATGAAGTGTGCATGACGACTGACTCGAGGAAGAGTGACTGTAAGTTTTCTACACTCGGGGGTCAGAGTGTTTTAGTGGTGGACCCAAGTTTTACTCAGACCACGCAGCGCGCAATGAAGGAAAGTCGCTTTTTTAAAGATCCCGAAGACAGTGCCGAAACGGTAAGACTAAATAATATAAAATAAAATTTATGACATAACAATAACATTCAAATACATGCAACAAATGCAAAGTTAGCAGTATTAGAAACAATTTGCCATACGTTAAGTCTATTTACTTTAAGGTTTAATTGGCCAAATGCAATGTGTTACTTAAATTCATAATTCAAATCTTTACAGCATGTAAATGTTCACACAAAATATATACATGCCAAAAATAACATTAACATTGTTCATTAAGTTTTAATTCACAATTGTTGCTAAAATTTTGTTCAACATATATTGGTACATAAAATATTTTTAATTTAATAAAAGTCATACGTATTTGTCTTTGTTAGTTGCGACTACTAAATCATTAAATAATTGCGTTTTATTTAAAAGTTTTAGCTTTAAATTATTTTGCCATGACCTGCAGATAAGTTGATTTGTAACACTGCTAATGAAGGTTTTTTGTAGAATAGTTCGTTTATTTGCTACATTGTAGTAAAGTTTGCAAAATATTTTTAGTAGCACATCAGTTTATTCCCACTATTAATTACTGCATTATTACCTGCGTAATTAAAAAATATTTATTTGTACTTCTAAAGTATGATCTTTTTTTATATTCCTAATCCTACAGTACCTACACATTTTATCTACATTGTTCAGGGATATTTTATCTATTAGATAAATGATGGAATGCAGTTTTAGTTTAGGGACATTTCATAGCTTTTATTATTGCCGTTTCTCGTTTTTAACTCTAAGGGCCGCTGTTGATCTGTAAAACAGAAATGCACGTAGGTTACAGCCTGTGGTTAGTGGAACTGTGCTGATGTTGCGTATGTTATTGTGAAGGATACTAGAGAGAGTCGACGAAGGAAGACTGTCATTGACTAACAGCGACCAAACGGGATTTATTTGTGAATATTTCAATTACTAAACATCACAAACACTGTATTCTTAAATCATTATATTCAAAGATGTTTGTGTCAAGATCTTATGGGATGATCTTAAGTTTTCAATCGCGAAGACAATCACTGGGTCGTGTTTATCCATGGAGGGTCTTATTCATCATGGCCGTTTTTTCGATCTTAAAGACAAACGCACCAACACGTTCTCACTCCCAACTCGTCATATACTGACGCTTGGTCAGGAACCCTCGGCGTAAGTTATTGACGCACAGGGTACCCCTTTAGCGTCACATTTAGACGTGCAGGGATTCCCTATAGAATCTGTACCTGAGCCTGAAGCGTCATAGGGAGACGCTGGAGGCTCGTATAATTACCAATAGATGTCAACGCACTTTTTAAAACCTGATTTACGCCTATTATCGCAGTTTTCTTCTTTTAAAAATATGTAATTTTTATTTTGTTCATGAAAAGCGTCTGTAAACTGGGTCGAAACTACTGTATGAATAAACTTCGGTCCACGTGACATGCCTTCACGGTGAGTTTAACGCCGCTCTGCTATTGGTCAAACTGCATTAGCGGTTAGTTCTCAGATGAGTTCAACTGTCAACATTAAATATTACGTTAATGCTGCATAATCTATTTTTATTGGAGAATTAGTTGGTGTTTATAAATATGTTATCATTTACTTTATATTTAATGAGTGAAAATATATTCGGTTGTCCAGTTTAGGTTAACTATAAAACTATACTACTAATAAAACTTTGATTCATTCATATTATTTATTATTTTTTTTACTTTAAAAAATATTACATTTCAAGTACTAAGTTTAAAAATGTTTTCGGCTGATCTTTTTTCATTTTAAATTATTCATTGAAGTTGGGGTCATTGTATGTGGTGATCTATTTTTTACAGTCTATGCTCGCTATCCCAAGGTTCATTGCGATCCCAAGGTTCACTGCGGTTTTCCACAAGGTAAGTAAAAAGTAAACAAATAAAGACGATTTGTTGATAAAGCATGTACTGTAAACTAGCGACGTTATCTAATTACATCAAGTTCATTTATTAAAAACATATTTTTCTCACATATAACGTTGGTCATGCATAGCTCAGAACAATATATACATTTTAAGATAAGGAACAGTGTTACCAGATTGTTGTTTTCCACAATAGAATTCGTGCAAAATCTATATATAATATGCAGTATGCAACTCTAATAATACAAAAGTATTCGTAATTGTTTCAATATTAAAGAACATCAAGTGTTTCCAAAGGTTTAAAGGCTACATTGTAAAAACAATTATTTTCTTAAAACACACACACACACACACACACACACACATATATATATATATATATATATATATATATATATATATATATATATATATATATATATATAACACACACACACACACACATATATATATATATATATATATATATATATATATATATATATATATATATATATATATATATATATATAACATAACAAAAGCTCAAGTATAACTTAAGCTGATGTATGTCACAATGAATATCTTACACTATTACAAGTATAATTTGGCCTTTACCAATTTATTTAATAAAAGAAAGAATCTATCATCTCTAAATTTTGGTAAAGAGGCACAACAAGCTGTCTTCTTTGTCCAATATTATGTCAGTCAGGATGGTAATGGTAAAACTCAAGGATTACCTTGCACCTTCTCAGAAATTTACCATTGATCATATGTATTACAAGTGGCTGGATTGTTTTTAACACAAGCAACGTTTTTTAAATCATTATCTTAAACAGATTAAGGCTCATTTTGGACTACACTTACATTACTTTACAACTGCTTAATGCAGTACTGATGTATCTAGTAGTTAGTGGGTTTAACTAATGTCACATCTGTTTTTATTCATTTCAGATGCAGAAACTTTTGACATATGAATTCATCTTGACTAAGGGTAAGGTTTTTGTTCAGAATTAATCATTATTTAAAATCATTGTATTTTCTTTGTTATTATGTACAGATTTTAAAAGAATGTACTTTCTTTTAATAAAGAACTCTTCAAAGCACTGCTCCTGAACAGTCACAACCTCACAGAGCTGCACAACTGCCCCACTCAAGATCAGTGTTGAAGCTGGAACCTCATCTTGTGTACAGCAAAGGCAGAGCTGAAAATTCACTGTTTGTCTTGTATTGTGTGGTAAGTCATAGTTTTATTAATTTTTTAATTTCATTGCAACACTAAGTAGTCCATTCTGTGGCCAATATGATATAAAAGGCCTAAAATGGGACTAACGTGATTATTGTTTTGATTTCTAGATAAGTGCTTATGGGGCTACACATGCAGCTGAAGTTAGCTACATGGAGTAGGACATTTCTTTCAGTATACTCTTAAAGAGATTCACCCAAAAATGAAAATACTGTCATTAATGACTCATTCTTCACTTGTTCCAAATATGTCTGAGTTGCTTTCTTCAGTTAAACACAATTTATATTTTAAAGAAAGATGAAAACCTGCAAACATTAACTTCCATGGTATTTGTTTTTTCCTACTACGCATGTCAATGTTTTCAGCTTTTCAGCTTTCTTCAAAAACTTCCTTCATGTTCAACACAAAGTAACTTGGAAGTTTTTTAAAAAAGGTTTACAACCACTTGAGGGAGAGTAAATAGTGAACTATTCCTTTAACCCAATCTAGTAGACTTTACTAGAAAATTGTATAGAAACCCAGTGCCTTAAACCCATTACATTTTATACAAGGTACAACTTAACAGCCATACTTGAATTAAAATATTACTGTAAGTCCAAGAAGATTGTAAAGGTTCTAGGTTAATTTAAAGAGGGCTGTTTAGTTTCACCTTGTGTAAAAACATTAAGGGTTTAAGGCAACATGTTTCGATGCAGTTTTTTTTATAAAGTCAACTAGTTTGAGTTAAGAGTGTAATGGGTTTCAGTAAAAGCAGTGAATCATGCAGGCATAAAATAAATGTTTAGCCTTGTAAAACAATAAGCTTGTTATAATTTAGAAATATTTTTAGGGTGGAGCACTGTATGCTGTAGTAGTTTTCATATAATTGATGAGTCAAACATGAGATGTGTGTTTTAAATTGCAAGAAGTGAATTAACAATATGTTCATCAAGATTCAAATCTTGCATCTTATATTTTTTAAGGTTTTGGCCCAATAATACTCATATTCGGCTATTTTAAAAAAAAACTTGCTGGAATTTGTGTCAGCATTCCCTTCAATGAAAACTACAGCAGTGGACATCAGTGGTAATAAAAATGTATGAGAAGGATAAGGGTGTTCATAATGAGAAGAGCAGTCACTATCCTGATCTCTGAGTTTGTAGAACTGACAGATCTGCTTGGAATACATGGAAACATGCTGGAAATGTTTAACCTATTATACAGTTAATTCAAGAGTGCCAGGTTTAATTATGCTTTACATATATAAATAAATATCACTGAACTTTCTAAATGAAACCTAACACTCATTCTTTGTTCAGTAATGATATTGTGCACTTTTAATACTTTACAGTGGCAAAACCTGGAATAACATATGGGAGCCCTCCAGGAATTCCTGACACTTTACGCCCAAGTCTCCTCATGCTAACCGGATTGCAATATGACAGTTTAGTCAACATAAACACCTGGACTCACCAAGCACACTTTGGTTCTCAGTGTTTTGTAAAAATTGTTTTTGCTATTCTTCAGTAAATACTTGAATATGTTTTGAACTTATTCTACTTTTGATGTTTAAGTTCAGAAAGTTGTTATTATAATCATAATTTGCATTGGTCATGAACTTGACTTGTTGTTGTTGTGAAAGCTGTTTATTATAATGGCATTTCCAAAGGCATCATTTGAAAAGATTTTTTGCAGTGCAGTTTTACTTCAGCTTGACATACCAGATGCATGACATGAATAAATATCACAAAATAAATATAATAATGATAATACAAAATATAAATTTACTTCAATTATAATTGTTTTTAATCATTTATATATGTATGGTAATATATTATTGCATTAAAAACTGTTATAAATATATATATTTTTGGTTTTTGCATGTTTGCGTGATTTTTTTTTTTTTTGTGGCATTATAAATAAATTATAAATGTTTCATTAAAAATGTATTGTGTTTATTTGCATTCTCATTTACAATGAACTACTATTTATACTATTTAATGGGCACTATATTTGTCATTTAAGTTTGACATATATTTATATTTGTATACCTACAGGACGCAGTGTTTAGTTACAGGAAATACTGGAAATGTTTTCAAACATGATGCTTTTTTTTTATTATTTTATTATTCGTTTCAAATTTAGTATACTGCCTATGATCTGGTTTTACTATGATCATTTTGCACATTAGGTTACCCCCACAAAGGAATCTCACGGTAAATATACATTTGTATTTTTAATAAAACAATAAATAACATGTAATATTAATACACATTTTAATATTTAAGTTATATTATAAGGTTATTATAATCTAATTTCAACCGGAAGATTACCAAATAGAGACAAAGTGTGACGTAGATTGCGACATTGTGATTGGACTATAACTTCTAAGCAAATTAAAAGATCCTTCGTGTTGCTAACTATGTTTTGCTAACTTTGCCACTTTACTAACAGTGTCCTTTATCAATGAGTTATCGCTGTGTTTCAAATAGTTACCGATTAACCAAGATCGTAACCCTAAACTTAACCCTAACTACAGCTTTCAATGAACTACAATTTGTAGCGCCATGTCTTTCCCGTCCCATCTATACAGCGACAAAGGATTGTGGGTAATGTAGTTTAAAGCCTTTTTGTAATAAAATGGAACAAATACTATTTTTAATGAACTAAAGACTATCTGAATAAGGTCATTGTGCATATATTTATGACATATATGAATGCCAGACATAAATTTGTTATTTTACAATGAGTATTTTTTTTTAAAACAGCTTTTATTGACTTGATCAGTATATCAGACTATTATATCCAACATTATTTATTGAACATAGCATAGATAATAGTCTTGCTGATATTCTCTCACTCATTTCTCGTTTGAAATGTGAATACTTTTTCCTTTTCTACGGGACTCTACTCATCCCCTTTGAGTAAAAGGGCAGTTAACCTATGTAGATGTATTATATTCAACATGGACAAGAAATAGTATTGTCACATGTACAGTTGTGGTAAAAAAAAAAAAAAAGCTGTAAAAATAAGCTAAACATTAGTATCCTCTTTAATCACAAGTTATTAGCAATAGTGATCTATGTTCATCACAAATATTATGAGTTCAGAATAAAATGTGTAGATGTAATTCTGTAAGTGTGTTTCATTATTGGTCATCATGTGATATTTAATTGTTTTCTCTTTATTTGAAATATGGATAAAAGCTCTTAAAATATGTAAATGTTTATAAATATAACCTTTTTAAAGACATGTATTTGTTTGAAAACCACTCTTTATCTGATTATTTTTACTTTCTAAATCTTCAACTGTTTGTGTAACAGTATGTTTTGATGACAATGGATGAACTTGTGTTTAATAATGATTCCACATAATGTCTTTGTCCTGCATGTGGGTTAATTTGTTAATTATTTTCTTTATGATCAAATGATTTTAAGATTTGCTGCATTGTAAGAATCATGAAAATATTGAGAAATGAGGTAACAATGACGATAAGATATCCTTTCAAATGCTGTGAATAGTTCAAAATGATTAAAAATACATAGCCAATAACCAACAAAATAAATATGCAAATCTTTAAATTATCTAAACTAGAAGTAAAAAAGTTCTGTGCTGTACTTATAAGTTACTGTGAAGTTCTATGTCTACAAAAAATTCATATTTTATTTTACTTTTTGGCTTAGTCCCTTTATTAACCAGGGGTCGCCACATCTCTATGAACCGCCAACTTTTCCAGCATGTTTTTATGCAGCAGATGCTCTTCCAGCCGCAACCCATCTCTTGGAAAATATTTTATTTTTTTATTTTTTATCTTGCATTCAATAAAACATTATACAAAGTTATTTTTTATTTTCAGCATAACAACAGTGGCACTGTTATCTCACAAGTACAGTAGTTTTTTGTTAGACATTCTAACAAATGAATACAAATGTTTCAAAGTAAAGACAAAAATAAAAGGAGATTATGATTTTTTTTTTTTTTTTTAGAAAAATCCATGAGGACCAAATAGATCCATCAGATCTTTGATGTAAATCATAGGTTAATTTGTTCAGAGGTAGAAGTCTGGTTGCCTGACTCAGCCACATATTGACTGGAGGTATCTGAGCAGTTGACCATAATAATGTACATTTTTTGGCCAAGTATATGCAAAAATTAAATTTATCATAAAAATGTATCATAAAATTAATATTTTAAAAGCTCTTAATGTCATTTAATGTAATAATTTTATTTTAATATAGAGTTCCTTGTATCGTTATATGTTGTAAGCAGTTAGGCATACAATGATGCTCTTAATTTACAACACTGATTGATTTTAGAGGAATGCTTACATACTGTACATATCTATGTATTAAAAAAAAAAAAAAGAGACAACAATTTGGTTATAGATGATGAAAATTTTATTTTATTTTTACAGATTTTATTACATGCTTTAGATTCAGGGTTAAGGTCATCCTCTTCTGGATTACAGTAAAAGAAAATCCACAGTCAATGTCAAACTCATCAGCTGGAGCTTTATTTAAAAAATGTATGTTCTCTGCTCCAGCCAAAACTTGCAGGTACCTTGCAGGTCTCTAGATTGCACCATCGTATTGTTGTTTATTTCTCAGTTATTTTGTTGCTTTCTGAGAATGATGATCCATAGACCTTTTAACCCCTCTTCGTTTAGGCCACATGTCGAATCTTAAAAGAAGAACACAACAACATAAAAATATATTAATATCCTTTGGACTGGGTAACCTTATGCTTATGTCTGTGCCAAATAATACAAATACATACTTTTCAGAAGCAAACAAGCAGGAAAGTTCTTTGAAGGAACCAGGATGAGTTGAAAGGTATTTATAGTGGTTGGCCATCTCTGCCACAAGAATCCTCTGCTTCTCCTGAAGAATCCTGACTAGCAGGATGATGTTGAACACCCTCCTCTTTGTTGCTGGGTCAGCAGAGTCTGAAATATATTTATAAAAAGAAAGTTGTATAACAAGGATTATACGTCAACTTTTAAAGAATCAACACTGACAGAAGCCTAGTGTACATACCATGCCATATGATGAAGACATCCACATCACTTCTGTTTTTTGTTGTCTTTGCTTCTACTACTGAAAAAAATGACAATAATAGTAACACTTACAATTTTTCATGACTACATGTAATATTAATAAGAATTTCCTCACCCTCTGCCCACTCCTCTACATCACAGACCAAAGTCTTCCAACTGGTTTCCGGTCACTGCCAGTTTCATGGATTCTGTTTTCCAACTTGCTTTGCAGAGCTGTTGCGGTCTACAGTGATAAGCAATCAAAAATCACAATACTATTCAAATAGGTTACTGAACATCTAAAACAAATTCTACTGGATATCGTTACCTTCTGATATCAATAGGTCAGCGAGATGGCCAAACTGTTGAATATCTGCTAATTCCAGCACATGACCATGAGAGTTACAGTAGCATGTCTGGTCACTGCAATCCTATAGAAGAAACATTGCACTGTTCAACCTCCTTCCCAAGAGTAAATCCACACATATCCTTGTATCAACTCACTCCATTTTACCTGGTTAACATATACAAAACAAACAAACAAACAAACAAACAAACAAACAAACAAACAAATAAGTAAACCAATAAGTTTTGGCATTTACGTGTAGATCAGTTTAAGATAATCACATAGTTCATCTATCTCAGATATAAACTCATGTGCTTAGGCATGAAACACACTAAAATCATGGGCTTAAAGATGGTGCTGAAACTTTGGACAGCTTTTTGCAACTCTTTGGAGGTAGTTGCATTAGTTGATGTAGTCCACAAATCTTCCTGTCAATCCTTAATCCTTAGCTGTAAACAAACCTTCAAAATATTATCTTCTAATCTAATTTTACTAGGTGAACATCAAAGAGCTGTTTTCTTGTTAATTTAGTTTCAACACATACAGTTTAAAGTACCTTGTGCATTCATGAAATGGTTATACTTATGGTTCACATCTACTTAAATTGGCAGTATATCTAGTGTGGAAGCAAGACAGATGAAGGGCTCTTCCTTGCAAATACTATCCACCTTGTATTGCACAGACTCCCACTCAAGAATATCTCAGAAAAATGTCTGCTGAGAACTTGGCAGTCTATTAAAAATAATTATACCAAACTCTTTTCCACCAATGGAAAGAATATAAAAATATTTTAGGATATATTTATACTTGCATGACCAAATCTGAGATAAAAAAGGCCATCAGTATGCCTTAGTTTAAATAAAAACAAATTTTTACTCTAGCCCACTGTCACCTGGGTCTACAGATACAGGGACTAATGGAAACATTAAAGTACACACCAACAGTCACTGGAGCAAGGCCCTCTCACAGTTGGGAAGATTGGAGTTCCTATGAGCTGTACCAGATAAAAACAACAAAAAATTAACATTTCTAACATTTCTAACTTATCCTAAGACTAGTAGACAAGCAGCATTAGTAGTTTAATTTCCTAAACCCCAATGTGGACAGTTGATGGCCTATAAGGTGTCATAAAATCAGACAAAACAAAATACTTTCTGAAAAAGAAAAAAAATGGTTGGCCACTATCAACACCCAGAACAAAAAGTTTTAAACAGTTAGGCCACAATATTTTGTGAGCTTATGCTGTAGTTTATAATGTTTTTCATAAACAATAGTAATAGTAAAACTAATGCGTCTCTTTCTGTTATTACAATAGAAGTGAAAGAATAAATGCATTTTATCTCATACAATCATATATGCCTAAACAATGTAGATATTTAATATACATGGAATGAAAAACTTCACTAACCCTTGACTGATTCCAGAGTGGTCTTTGCCCTCTATACATGGTGGTGCTTCCTGCAGATCATCAAGTTGTCATCAAGACTTGAGCTTATAATTGAGATCTTGATGATAAATATGAGTATCAAGGAATCACTCATGGTGATAGGCAGAAACAGGCTGAAAGACACAAGAATTAATCAAACAAACACAAATGTGTTAACAGAGATAGAGAGAAAGACAAGTTCAATTTAACATATAGACATGGGTAAAGTGGCTTTACTTTTTGCTTATTAGAAAACAAAATTGGATTTTTAAAGAAATCTAAAGAACCTGAAAAGAGCAAAGAAAAAATATTCATATCTGAACAGTAAACACCTTATAATTTACACCTGTATGTATATATATATATATATATATATATATATATATATATATATATATATATATATATATATATATATATATACATACATATGTGTGTGTGTGTGTGGTAGATTAAAATAAAAATAAAATAAAATTAAAAATGTGAAAAAAATTTCTGCCTTTTTTCCTTTAAAGGCATGGAAAATAATTGTTTTTACAATTAACCTTTGGAAACACTTGATGTTCTTTAATATTGAAACAATTACGAATACATTTGTATTATTAGAGTTGCATATTGCATATCATATAAAGATTTTGCACGAATTCTATTGTGGAAAACAACAATCTGGTAACACTGTTCCTTATCTTAAAATGTATATATTGTTCTGAGCTATGCATGACCAACGTTATATGTGAGAAAAATATGTTTTTAATAAATGTTAAATAGTTAAATAGTTTACAGTACATGCTTTATCAACAAATCGTCTTTATTTGTTTACTTTTTACTTACCTTGTGGAAAACCGCAGTGAACCTTGGGATCGCAATGAACCTTGGGATAGCGAGCATAGACTGTAAAAAATAGATCGCCACATACAATGACCCCAACTTCAATGAATAATTTAAAATGAAAAAAGATCAGCCAAAAACATTTTTAAACTTAGTACTTGAAATGTAATATTTTTTAAGTACAAAAATAATAAATAATATGAATGAATCAAAGTTTTATTAGTAGTATAGTTTTATAGTTAACCTAAACTGGACAACCGAATATATTTTCACTCATTAAATATAAAGTTAATGATAAAATATTTATAAACACCAACTAATCTCCAATAAAAATACATTATGCAGCATTAACATACTATTTAATGTTGACAGTTGAACTCATCTGAGAACTCACCGTTGATGCAGTTTGACCAATAGCAGAGCGGCGTTAAACTCACCGTGAAGGGATGTCACGTGGACCGAAGTTTATTCATACAGTAGTTTCGACCCAGTTTACAGACGCTTTTCATGAACAAAATAAAAATTACATATTTTTAAAAGAAGAAAACTGCAATAATAGGCGTAAATCAGGTTTTAAAAAGTGCGTTGACATCTATTGGTAATTATACGAGCCTCCAGCGTCTCCCTATGACGCTTCAGGCTCAGGTACAGATTCTATAGGGAATCCCTGCACGTCTAAATGTGACGCTAAAGGGGTACCCTGTGCGTCAATAACTTACGCCGAGGGTTCCTGACCAAGCGTCAGTATATGACGAGTTGGGAGTGAGAACGTGTTGAACGCACAGATTCGGTATTCAGTTCCAGAGGAAATGAAGAAAGGATCTCTTATCGGGAATATAGCTCATGATCTTGGTCTGGATGTTCAAAGACTGCGCTCGGGTCGAGCTCGTATCGTGTCTGGCGACAGCACCGAGTATGTAGAGCTCAAAACAGACAAAGGGATTTTGGTTGTAAAGGAGAGAATTGACCGAGAGCAGCTTTGCGCTGAAACCACTCCGTGCAGCTTCACGTTTGAAATTATACTTGATAATCCAATGGAGCTACATCATGTTACGGTGGAAATATTGGATGTAAATGATCACTCACCAACATTTGCCAAAAGTGATATTAATCTTGAAATAAGTGAATCGGCCGCCCCCGGTGCTCGTTTCTTACTGGGAGGCGCAGATGATCCTGATGTAGGTGTAAACGCACTACAACATTATACTATATCACCTAACGATAATTTTATCCTGAAAGAAAAATCGCGCCCTGATGGAGTTAAATATGCTGAAATGGTGCTTCAGAAACCTCTAGACAGAGAGCAGCATCCTCGACTGTCTCTCATTCTTACTGCAGTCGATGGAGGAAGCCCTCAAAGAACTGGTAGCATGAAAATAGAGGTCACTGTATTAGATGCAAACGACAACGCGCCTGTATTTAACCAGTCAATATACAGAGCGACAGTGGAGGAAAATTCACAAAAAGGTACTTATATTACAATTGTTAATGCTAGTGATGTTGACAGTGGTGCGAATAGCTTAATTTCATACAGTTTTGCTAATTTTAAAGGGAATATAAATGACATTTTTCACATTAATGATAGAACAGGTGTCATAACATTAAGTGGGGTTCTTGACTATGAAAAAGCAAAGAAATACGAAATTGATATTGAAGCCAAAGATCAGGGAGGTTTAGGTGACTCTGCAAAAGTTGTAGTTGATTTAATTGATGTTAATGATAATGCGCCAGTGATTAGTGTCATGTCATTTTCAAGCCCAGTTACAGAAGACGCAACTGTTGGCACTACCATCGCTATTTTCAGTGTTAAGGATGTAGATGCAGGAGACAATGGTCACGTTGAATGTACTATTGGTAGAAATACTCCTTTTAAACTACAGTCTTCACTGAGAAATTATTACAATTTAGTCACTGATGCGGCTTTAGATCGTGAGCGTGTGGCAGAATATAATATTACAATCACCGCTACAGATTCAGGATCTCCTGCGCTTTCCAGTCAGAAAACTTTGAATTTGAAAGTATCAGATGTAAATGACAATCCACCCAGGTTTCAAAAGAGTGTTTACACTGCATTTATTACAGAAAACAATTCACCGGGTTTGTCCATATTTACTCTAAGCGCTAAAGATAATGACTGGAACCAGAACGCTCGTATTTCATATCTCCTAGAAGATACTTCAGTGGGTGGATCCCCTGTTTCCTCTTTTATATCAGTAAATGCTGACAGTGGAGTGGTTCACGCACTGCGCGGTTTCGACTATGAGCAAATGAAAAGTGTTCGCGTTTGTGTAAAAGCACAAGATGGAGGCTCTCCGCCCCTCAGCACTAATGTGACTTTGGATATTATAATCCAAGATCAGAATGACAACGCTCCTCAGGTTCTGTATCCAGTACAGACTGGCGCTTCAGTGGTGGCTGAGATTGTGCCTCGTGCTGCAGATGTTGGATATCTGGTCACTAAAGTGGTGGCTGTTGATGTGGACTCTGGTCAGAATGCCTGGCTCTCCTATAAACTCCAGAAAGCTCCAGACAGAGCGCTGTTTGAAGTGGGTTTACAGAATGGAGAAATAAGAACTGTGCGACAAGTTACTGATAAAGATGCTGTCAAACAAAAACTCACTGTTGTTGTGGAGGATAACGGACAGCCCTCTCGCTCAGCTGTGGTCTCCATTAACGTGGCTGTGGCTGACAGCTTTCCTGAAGTGCTGTCAGAGTTCACAGACTTTACGCATGAGAAACAATATAACGACAGCTTAACTTTTTATTTAGTTCTGGCTCTGGCCGCTGTTTCTTTCCTATTCATCACTTGTGTGGTTGTGATAATATCAGTTAAAATCTACAGATGGAGACAATCTCGCTTCCTCTATCAGTCCAATCTGCCTGTTATTCCGTACTATCCACCGCATTACGCAGACACAGGAGTCACTGGAACTCTGCCGCACGGCTATAATTATGAAGTGTGCATGACGACTGACTCGAGGAAGAGTGACTGTACGTTTTCTACACTCGGGGGTCAGAGTGTTTTAGTGGTGGACCCGAGTTTCAGTGAGACGATGCAGCGCGCAATGAAGGAAAATCGTTGTTTAAAAGATGCAGAGGAGTGTCTGGAAACGGTAAGATCGCATTATATTAAACAATAATTATGATAAAAAATGTATTCTTGAATTGCACACAACAGTATCAGAATTAATTTGCAGCAAATAAAAGTGATGTATATAAAGCATTCATTTCTTCGTTTGAGTTGATGAATTATTCATCATAAACAAAAGTTAAAGTTCTAGAATTTATTTTTTTGTCCAAATATAAATAGAACATTGTTTTAGTCCATGATTATTCCTAAAACGTAAAAAAATGATTAGGACATTAGGACTCAATAATAATGATGATAATAATAATAATAATAATAATAATAATAATAATAATAATAATAATAATAATAACAATAATAATGATAAACTCTTGCCTTTAGGCGACGCGGTGGCGCAGTAGGTAGTGTTGTCGCCTCACAGCAAGAAGGTCGCTGGTTTGAGCCTCGGCTGGGTCAGTTGGCGTTTCTGTGTGGAGTTTGCATGTTTTCCCTGCGTTCGCGTAGATTTCCACCGGGTGCTCCGGTTTTCCCCGCAGTCCAAAGACATGCAGTACAGATGAATTGAGTAGGCTAAGTTGTACGTAGTTTATGAGTGTGGATAAGTGTGTATGGATGTTTCCCAGAAATGGGTTGCAGCTGGAACGGCATCCTCTACATAAAACATGTGCTAGATAAGTTGGCGGTTCATTCCGCTGTGGACCCCAGATTAATAAAGACTAAGCCAAAAAGAAAATAAATGAATGAATTATATTGCATTTATCTGTGAAATATGGGGGGCCCAAATAATTACCTCTATAATTGAAATAAAATGTTTTTCCCATGGTTGTAAAAAGTATTACTTATTTTTGCACCACTTGCTGTAAAGCAGGTTCAACTTTTACGTTTATAAAGGTACTGCGTATTTATTTAGATTCACGATAGTTTCTCCATAGAGGTAAAACAACGGAATGCAGTTGTGATTCTAAGACTTTATAGCTTTTATTGTTGTTTCTCGGTCTCAACTCTAAGGGCCGCTGTTGATTTGTATAAAATGCACCTAGGTTTCCGCCTATGGTTGGTGGAACTGTGCTGATGCTGGCTATGAGGTTGTGGATGAGGAGACTAAAATGAGCCATTGAACGGAGACTATTGACTAACAGCGACCTTACGGGATTCATTTGTGGATATTTCGATTGCAAATCTTCATGAGCAGTCTGTATTATAATTTGTGTATAAAATGTTTGTCATAAGAGCATTTATAAGGATTATATGTTACCTAGTGCGAGGACAACCATTGCATCCTGCTTATCCATGGAGGGTCTTATTCATCATGGCCGTTTTTTCGATCTTAAAGACAAACGCACAGATTCGGTATTCAGTTCCAGAGGAAATGAAGAAAGGATCTCTTATCGGGAATATAGCTCATGATCTTGGTCTGGATGTTCAAAGACTGCGCTCGGGTCGAGCTCGTATCGTGTCTGGCGACAGCACCGAGTATGTAGAGCTCAAAACAGACAAAGGGATTTTGGTTGTAAAGGAGAGAATTGACCGAGAGCAGCTTTGCGCTGAAACCACTCCGTGCAGCTTCACGTTTGAAATAATACTCGATAATCCAGTGCAACTACATCATATTATGGTGGAAATATTGGATGTAAATGATCACTCGCCAACTTTCCTTAATGATTTAATTAATTTTGAAATAAGCGAGTCAGCTGCCCCTGGAGCTCGTTTCCAAGTGGGAAGCGCAGTTGATCCTGATGTTGGCGTGAATGGTATTCAAAATTATGTCATATCACAGAATGATAATTTTATTTTAAAACAACATGTACGAGAAGGTGGTGTGAAATATGCAGAAATGGTGCTTCAGAAACCTCTAGATAGAGAACAGCATCCACGACTGTCCCTCATTCTCACAGCGGTCGACGGAGGAAACCCTCAAAAATCAGGTAACGTTAAAATAGAGGTCACTGTATTAGATGCAAATGACAACGCACCAGTATTTAACCAGTCCATATACAAGGCAACAATTAAAGAAAATGCACCTAAAGGAACTTATATAACAACTGTTAATGCGAGTGATGCAGATTCCGGGTCAAATAGTTTAATCTCGTATAGCTTTATGAACACGAAAATTGTCAGCGAGATTTTTGAGTTGGATGAAAGCACTGGTGTGATAAAATTAAATGGGGTTCTTGACTACGAAAAAGCAAAGAAATACGAAATTGATATCGAAGCAAAAGACGAAGGTGGTTTAGGCGACTCTGCAAAAGTCATTGTTGATTTAATTGATGTAAATGACAATGCGCCAGTGATCAGTGTCATGTCATTTTTCACCCCAGTAAGCGAGGATGCACCTGTTAGCAACACTATTGCAATTTTCAATGTCAAAGATGTAGATGCAGGAGACAATGGTCACGTTGAATGTACTATTGATAAAAGTTCTCCATTTAAACTACAGTCTTCACTGCGGAATTATTACACTTTAGTCACTGATGCGGCTTTAGATCGTGAGCGTGTGGCAGAATATAATATAACTATTACAGCAACAGATTCAGGATCTCCTGCGCTTTCCAGTCAAAAAACTTTGAATTTGAAAGTATCAGATGTTAATGACAATCCACCCAGGTTTCAAAAGAGTGTTTACACTGCATTTATTACAGAAAACAATTCGCCAGGTCTGTCCATATTTACTCTGAGCGCTAAAGATGATGACTGGAACCAGAACGCTCGTATTTCATATCTTCTAGAAGATACTTCAGTGGGTGGATCCCCTGTTTCCTCTTTTATATCAGTAAATGCTGACAGTGGAGTGGTTCACGCACTGCGCGGTTTTGACTATGAGCAAATGAAAAGTGTTCAAGTTTGCGTAAAAGCACAAGATGGAGGCTCTCCGCCCCTCAGCACTAATGTGACTTTGGATATTATAATCCAAGACCAGAATGACAACGCTCCTCAGGTTCTGTATCCAGTACAGACTGGCGCTTCAGTGGTGGCTGAGATTGTGCCTCGTGCTGCAGATGTTGGATATCTGGTCACTAAAGTGGTGGCTGTTGATGTGGACTCTGGTCAGAATGCCTGGCTCTCCTATAAACTGCAGAAAGCTGCAGACAAAGCGCTGTTTGAAGTGGGTTTACAGAATGGAGAAATAAGAACTGTGCGACAAGTGACTGATAAAGATGCTGTCAAACAAAAACTCACTGTTGTTGTGGAGGATAACGGACAGCCCTCTCGCTCAGCTGTGGTCTCCATTAACGTGGCAGTGGCTGACAGCTTTCCTGAAGTGTTGTCAGAGTTTACAGATTTTACGCATGAGAAACAATATAACGACAGCTTAACTTTTTATTTAGTTCTGGCTCTGGCCGCCATTTCTTTCCTATTCATCACTTGTGTGGTTGTGATAATATCAGTTAAAATCTACAGATGGAGACAATCTCGCTTCCTCTATCAGTCCAATCTGCCTGTTATTCCGTACTATCCACCGCATTACGCAGACACAGGAGTCACTGGAACTCTGCCTCACGGCTATAATTATGAAGTGTGCATGACGACTGACTCGAGGAAGAGTGACTGTAAGTTTTCCACACTCGGGGGTCAGAGTGTTTTAGTGGTGGACCCGAGTTTTACTCAGACGACTCAGCGCGCAATGAAGGAAAATCGTTTTTGTAAAGATCCCGAAGACAGTGCCGAAACGGTAAGACTGCATACTATCAAATAAGACTTATGGTATAGCAAGTCTATAATAATAAATTACATGCAACAAATGTAAGTTTAGCAGTATTAGACACCATTTGCTTCATTAATTTGATTTAAATTAAGGTTTAGTTTGTTAAATGTAATGTGTTACTTCTTATATATTAATTATTCAAATCTTTACAGCATGTATTAAATGTTCACACAAAATATATACTTGCAAAAATGCCGTTGTTAATTCAGTCTTAATTCACAATTGTTGCAAAATTTTTGTTAAACATATATTTGTACATAATGAATTTAATTTAATAAAAGTCATAAATATTTTTCTTTGTTAGTTTCGACTTCTAAAGCATTAACCGATGTTAAACATTTGGGTTTTTAATAAAATGTTTTAGCTTTAAATCATTTCGCCAATTATCTGCAGATAAGTTGATTTGTAACACTGCTATTTAAGTTTTTATTTTTTGTAGGATCGTTTGTTTTTTTCTCCACATGGTAGGAAAGTATGCATAATATTTTTGGTAGCACATCAGTTTAAGTATAAATTCCCACTATTAATTACTGCATTATTACCTGCGTAATTTTAAGAAATTAACTATTTATTAGTACTTATAAAGTATGCTATTTTTATATTCCCAATTTATATTCCCTACAGTACCTATACACTTTTTATCTACATTGTTTATTGATATTTTGTCCAATAGATTATGATGGAATTCAGTTTTAGTTCAGGAACATTTCATAGCTTTTATTATTGCCGTTTCTCGTTCTTAACTCTAAGGGCCGCTGTTGATCTGTAAAACAAAAATGCACGTAAGTTACAGCCTGTGGTTGGTGGAACTGTGATGATGCTGGTTAGGATATTGTGGAGGAGACTAGAGAGAGTCGATGAAGGAAGACTGTCATTGACTAACAGGATTCATTTGTGGATATTTCGATTACTAAACATCACCAACACTGTATTCCTAAATTTTTATCTTTAAAGATGTTTGTGACAACATTTTATGGGATGATTTTAGGTTTTCAATCGCGAAGACAATCACTGTGTCGTGTTTATCCATGGAGGGTCTTATTCATCATGGCCGTTTTTTCAATCCTAAAGACAAACGCACAGATTCGGTATTCAGTTCCAGAGGAAATGAAGAAAGGATCTCTTATCGGGAATATAGCTCATGATCTTGGTCTGGATGTTCAAAGACTGCGCTCGGGTTTAGCTCGTATCGTGTCTGGCGACAGCACCGAGTATGTAGAGCTCAAAACAGACAAAGGGATTTTGGTTGTAAAGGACAGAATTGACCGAGAGCAGCTTTGCGCTGAAACCACTCCGTGCAGCTTCACGTTTGAAGTTATACTTGATAATCCAATGGAGCTACATCATGTTACAGTGGAAATATTGGATGTGAACGATCATTCGCCAACATTTGCCAGAAGTGATATTAATCTTGAAATCAGCGAATCGGCCGCCCCCGGTGCTCGTTTTTTACTGGGAAGCGCAGATGATCCTGATGTAGGTGTAAATGCTCTGCAAAATTATGTTATGTCAAACAACAACAATTTTGTCCTGAAACAGCACTCGCGCCCTGATGGAGTTAAATATGCTGAAATGGTGCTTCAGAAACCTCTAGACAGAGAACAGCATCCTCGACTGTCTCTCATTCTTACTGCGGTCGATGGAGGAAACCCTCAAAAGTCTGGTAACATGAAAATAGAGGTCACTGTATTAGATGTAAATGACAACGCGCCTGTATTTAACCAGTCAATATATAGGGCAATAATAGCGGAAAATGCACCAAAAGGAACCTATATTACAACTGTTAATGCAAGTGATGCAGACAGTGGCTCAAATAGTTTTATCTCATATAGTTTTGCTAATTTGAAAGGTAACATCAATTATGTTTTTGAAATAGATGAAAAAACTGGGGTTTTAACATTAAGTGGGGTTCTTGACTACGAAAAAGCAAAGAAATACGAAATTGGTATAGAAGCCAAAGATCAGGGAGGTTTGGGTGACTCAGCAAAAGTTGTAGTTGAAGTAATTGATGTTAATGATAATGCGCCAGTGATTAGTGTCATGTCATTTTCAAGCCCAGTTACAGAAGATGCAACTGTTGGCACTACCATCGCTATTTTCAGTGTTAAGGATGTAGATGCAGGAGACAATGGTCACGTTGAATGTACTATTGGTAGAAATTCTCCTTTTAAACTACAGTCTTCACTGCGGAATTATTACACTTTAGTAGTCACTGATGCGGCTTTAGATCGTGAGCGTGTGGCAGAATATAATATTACAATCACCGCTACAGATTCAGGATCTCCTGCGCTTTCCAGTCAGAAAACTTTGAATCTGAAAGTATCAGATGTAAATGACAATCCACCCAGGTTTCAAAAGAGTGTTTACACTGCATTTATTACAGAAAACAATTCACCGGGTTTGTCCATATTTACTCTAAGCGCTAAAGATGATGACTGGAACCAGAACGCTCGTATTTCATATCTTCTAGAAGATACTTCAGTGGGTGGATCCCCTGTTTCCTCTTTTATATCAGTAAATGCTGACAGTGGAGTGGTTCACGCTCTGCGCGGCTTCGACTACGAGCAAATGAAAAGTGTTCACGTTTGTGTGAAAGCACAAGATGGAGGCTCTCCGCCCCTCAGCACTAATGTGTCTTTGGATATTATAATCCAAGACCAGAATGACAACGCTCCTCAGGTTCTGTATCCAGTACAGACTGGCGCTTCAGTGGTGGCTGAGATTGTGCCTCGTGCTGCAGATATTGGATATCTGGTCACAAAAGTGGTGGCTGTTGATGTGGACTCTGGTCAGAATGCCTGGCTCTCCTATAAACTCCAGAAAGCTCCAGACAGAGCGCTGTTTGAAGTGGGTTTACAGAATGGAGAAATAAGAACTGTGCGACAAGTCACTGATAAAGATGCTGTCAAACAAAAACTCACTGTTGTTGTGGAGGATAACGGACAGCCCTCTCGCTCAGCTGTGGTCTCCATTAACGTGGCTGTGGCTGACAGCTTTCCTGAAGTGCTGTCAGAGTTCACAGACTTTACGCATGAGAAACAATATAACGACAGCTTAACTTTTTATTTAGTTCTGGCTCTGGCCGCTGTTTCTTTCCTATTCATCACTTGTGTGGTTGTGATAATATCAGTTAAAATCTACAGATGGAGACAATCTCGCTTCCTCTATCAGTCCAATCTGCCTGTTATTCCGTACTATCCACCGCATTACGCAGACACCGGAGTCACTGGAACTCTGCCGCACGGCTATAATTATGAAGTGTGCATGACGACTGACTCGAGGAAAAGTGACTGTAAGTTTTCTACACTCGGGGGTCAGAGTGTTTTAGTGGTGGACCCGAGTTTCAGTCAGACAATGCAGCGCGCAATGAAGGAAAATGACTTTACGGAAGAAAACGTCCATTCGGAACTGGTAAGGTGACACCCTCTTAAATATAGTTTGCAGCATGTTTTTAGTTTCTTGTTCTCTGGTGGTCTATTTTAACGAAAATTTTAAAGTCATAGCAAATGTGCGAGAAGTTACTCCCTTAAAACGGATGTATGAAGTACTCGGATACATTTCAGCACCACTGGACAGCGCCAAAAACAGTGCTTCCCTCATTTTAAATTCAGTGAATTAAAGCTGCATAATAGGTGCATTATAATAATAACAACAATAATAATACTTTTATTATTGTTATTATTATTATTATTATTATTATTATTATTATTATTATTATTATTATTATTATTATAATTAATAATGTAATATTATTATTATTATTTTTATTTTTATTATTATTATTATTATATTGTTGTTAATATTTCTTAATGATAATAATAATAATAACAACAGCGTTTTATTTCAGCTGATTCATTTTTATCAACTCACTTAAAATGAAAGAACATTTGCTGGGAATTCGAACTATTATTTTTTGGATTGTTTGTTTGTTTGTTTGACCTAACAATGTGCCCCCGTAATTGAAAATGTCAGTGATGTGTAGAGCAAACATACCCCGCTTGTTTATATGTTTGTTTAGCCGACCTTTAGTTAGAAAATATCTCTAATGTTCTGCTCTCCTCTGAGTTGTCCCAAACGCAATGCAGTTTTTAGTAAAGGCTCAAAGGGACGCTGTTGACCAACGCAGCGCAGTCTACCTTTATTTCTATCTCAAAATCCAGTGATGTCAGAGAATGCCTGGATGACTCGAAACGAAAATTTGGTCTGATATGCTTAAGATAATTTTTCGTCTAACAGACGATTTCGTAGTGGGATCAGACTTTTACTTGTAAGGTCCTTATTTTCTGTATACTGATCGATTATTTAAGGTTAGCTCAGCAAAGGAAAAAATTGCCTTCTTTGTAATGTGGCACGGTGCGGTGTTTTTTATGATTCTGTCTCGATACGCGGTGAAAGGGCAGATCAGCTACTCCATCCCAGAAGAAATACCAAAAGGATCAATTGTTGAAAATAATTCTCAGGGTTTGGGTTTGGATTTAAAAAGACTGAATTCAGGGAAGGCGCGGATATTTGCGGGAGACAACAGAAGATTCGTCGGATTGAATAAGGAGAAGGGGATACTTCTCACAGAGGAGAAAATCGACCGCGAGGCTCTTTGTGCAAAAACGACTCCTTGCGCTTCACATCTGCAGCTGATTTTGGAAAACCCAATGCAAAAGTATGATGTCACAGTGGAAATCATCGATATAAACGATAATGCTCCGAGTTTTCCAAAAGGTGAAATTAGATTTGAAATAAGTGTAATATAGGGTTCGAGTATTTTGCGTGACTCACTCTCAAAGTAAATAAAATAAATCACCGGAGACGGCTTGTGAAACGTGACCTGTCTTTACTTCTTTTCACCAGTCAGCGCTTACAAAATGTAACAACCAACCTGGCATTCAGCCAATCAGAATATACAAAGATGAAGATCCAAGTAAATCTAACATTTCGAACAGTAACGCAGATTCCACACTTTAACTACCATCTATCTGAACATATTTTTAATCTTACATTTCTTTTTCCACCCACTTAAGAAACGTCCTCGTTTCTTTAGAGTTACAAAATTAAAGAAAAACAGAAGAAAAGAAAAAGAAAGAAACTACCTGTTAAAGTAGCTTTTTAGAGTCCCTTATGTCAAAAGATAATCTCTTAAATATCCAGGTAGTTTAACTGGACGCCGGCCTAGACATGTCATTGGAGCTGAACTTGAACTCTGATTAGGTGTGGACGTAACACTGGCTGGGTCCACTGAGGAAGAAGGCACTTGAAGAGGAAGGGGTGCCTGTGGGAGGATTTGGTCTTCTGACGTTAAGTTAGGTGTGCACCGTGCATATTGTGGTGGTTTGAAAGGTAACGCACCTGATAGAGCGGTCAAGGATGGGGAAGGATACGAAGCAGAGAGGGTAGTTTGCTGCGGTTTTTGAGGAACTGGTGCACAATATGGTCTCAGTCGGTTGTAATGAACAATTTGACATTTTTCTGGATCATCCAGAAGATAGTGGATTTTGTATGTGACACCCACATCCCTCTCTGACTCCAAACATTCCACAATTACAAAGGGTCATTTCCAGTGAGGTGTAAGTTTCTGTCTTACTGTGGTTGGGTCATGCAGCCAAACAAGATCTCCCTCTTGATATGGGGTAAAATTCAGATTCCTATCATAATGTCGCTTCTGTTGATGATAGGCATGTTCACTGTTTTGGGCAACAGCTGTAAATACATCTTCAAGTTTACTGATCATATCTACAGCATACTCAGGGACTGACTTGGTTGGAGATTGCGGTGAACTTGGCAACAGTAAATTAGCTGGCAATCTGGCTTCCCGACCATGTGTCAGGAAAAAGGGAGTAAAGCCGGTCGATGAATGGGGACTGGTATTATATACTAATGCTACCTGTCTGAGATAATCATCCCATTCTCCTTGCTGTTGCTGCAAAATCTTCGTCAACTGGTCAATAAGAGTTCTATTGAAACGCTCAACCATACCATCACATTGTGGATGGTAGGGGCTAGTCCTGGTCTTCTGAATGCCCACCAGTTGACAGAGATTTTGAATTAGCTCAGATTCAAATTGTCGCCCTTGATCTGTGTTTAAGACCTCTGGAATTCCATGTTCACAGACAAAATTTTCAAACAGACACTTTGCCACTGTGGTAGCCCTCTGGTCAGAAATAGCATAAAGATTAACATATTTCGAAAAATAGTCTTGCACAACAAGAACATATCGATTTCCGCGACTTGTAACAGGAAGTTCAAGAATGTCCGCAGCCACTTTCTGAAAAGGTGCAGTTGCTGTTATTGTTTTCATAGGTGCTTTTTGACGAGGAATTGGGGTGCGTCGGGCATCACAAGGAACGCATTTCTTACACCACTCATATATGTCCCGGGACATGAAAGGCCAGAAGCAGAGCTGTTGTGCCTGTTTCACAACTTTTTCTGCTGACAGATGTCCAGCAATGGGATTGCCGTGGAGAGATTGAAGGACTTGCTTCCTTAAAGTTTGAGGTACAATGACCTGACAAGTCACAGACTTCGTACTTGAATTGAGGATTTCTCGACAGAGAAGACCATTATGTAGCGTGAGTCTTGTGAATTCTTTCCAGATAATCCTCTCCTTCTGTGACCGTTTGCTTATCTTTCTGTATGGTGGCCTTAACCCCTTTAGTTTCCAACTTATTACTTCCTTTAAAACTGGATCCTGTTTTTGGTGCTCTATAAAACTTGATTCAGAAGTAGCCAGTTGTAGCATAAGAGATGGAGTTCTCTCCATCTCTTGATTCACACAGGCAGCTAAGGTTGGTGAAACATGGGTTATACTGACTGATGGACCCAAGACTTTGGATCCCTGTGCAGCAGATAAGTAACCACTGTCAGATTTAGATACTGGAGAGCCAACATTAGCCTCACCTGAAGAAGAGGCTGGGATTTCCATAGCTGAATCCGATGCTTGACGACGTGATAGGGCGTCAGCATTTGCATGTTTTAGTCCTTTTCGGTGTATGACCGTCCATTCAAATGGATCCAATTCAAGGGCCCAGCGGGCTCTTCTCCCAGTGCGATCGCTGTCAATTGGTATTTTCCTTAACCCCATGAGAGGTTTGTGGTCCGTAATGATGAAGAAATGCTGCTTATATAGATAGTGGCGGAAATGTCTCGCAGCCCACATAATGGCCAAGAGTTCCCTATCATACGTGGACCACTTCCTTTCAGCTTTTGTGAGGACATGACTGGCATATGCGATCACTGTTTCTTGAGTCCCCTTTTCCTGGGCTAAAACAGCTCCAATAGCAGATGCAGAGGCATCTGTGTACAGAAGAAACGGTTGATGAAAATCTGGGAAAGAAACAATAGGTGGGTGAGATAGGGCATGTTTCAAATAGGTAAATGCCTCATTGCATTCAGCTGTCCAACTGAATCTAGCATTTTTTTCTGTCAATTTATGGAGAGGGACTGCATGCTGAGCAAAATCTTTTATAAACTTCCTATAGTAAGAGCATAATCCCAAAAATGACCTCACTTCAGTAGGTGAGCGTGGTACAGGCCAATCTTGGACACTCTGAACATTCCTTGGATCAGGTTTTATCCCGTCTTTAGATACAATGTGGCCCAAGAACTGAACCTCCCTTTTGGCAAGAGAGCATTTGGAGGGATTGAGTTTTAACCCACAGGACTTGAATCTGGTGAACACTTCCTCCAATTGCTGGAGGTGATCATTAAATGTCTTACTGAAAATAAGGACATCGTCCAAATACACCAAGCATGTTTTCCATGGCAGACCACGAAGCACCATTTCCATCAACCTTTGAAAGGTTGCTGGAGCATTTCTCAAACCTATCGGCATAACTTTAAAATGGTACAGCCCATCACCTGTGGTGAATGCGGTTTTTTCACGATCTTCTTTTGCCAGTTCCACTTGCCAATAACCATGCTGAAGGTCTATTGTGGAGAACCAAGCAGATCCTGACAAAGCGTCCAAAGCATCATCAACTCTAGGTAGAGGATGAGAGTCTTTCACGGTTACTGAATTTAACTTCCTGTAATCTAAGCAAAATCGCCATGTTCCATCCCTTTTACGCACCAACACTACAGGCGCTGCCCATGGGCTATAGCTTTCTTCAATGACATCTGCTTTTAAAAGTTTTGTCACCTGTTGCTGTATTTCTTGTCTTTGTTCAGGAGTAACACGGTAAGGCCTTTGTTTGATTGTCAGGGCTTCCCCCGTCCGAATTCGATGTTTAATCATGCCTGTTCTCTCTCTGTCATCAGAATCCTTACTAAAAATATCACAGTACGTAGTCAACAGCTCTGTTAGGGATTCAACTTGGGATGTCGACAGATCTGAATTATCAATGGATACAGAGGGGGTAGCGGCCGAAGGATCAGATAGAATATTACAACATTCTCCCTCCAAAACTGTTGAGTCAAGAGCAGAAAGAAATTGAAACTCACCCAGGTGCTGGCCTGCATGATTTCGATGTCTTCCTCTGTGGTATTCAAAACCCGTACTGTAGTCAGACCATTTTGAACCTCGCTGAGGGTGTGTGCAACAGCCACATTACTAGCCGTGTTGGGTTCCAGGACACCTGTGTAGGCTGTTGGCACAGGAGAAACAGCTGTTGCTCCCGCAACACATGCTGTGATAACCGTTTCACTCCATGGCGGTAGTTTGGTAGATGCAAGCACAGAAACATTACAACAGGCTGCAGCTTCATGACCTGTAGAGAGCAAGGGAAGCTCAAAATTCCATAAGGACATTTTCTCATTTGTCACATCAATCAGAGCATGATGCTTTTGTAAGAAGTCCCAGCCCAAAATAATAGGATGGTGTGCACCCCTAACAACCTGGAAATCATGCTGCAGTAACTCTGTGCCAAGTCTCATGCCCAAAACTAAAACTCCTAGTGTCCAGGCATTGTCCAGTGACAGAGCGTGCAAGCACCATGGAAGTTTTTATGGGGCGTTTTCTCAACATGGGATGAGAATTTCGAAAGTATTCCCCAACAATAGAAATAGTAGAGCCAGTGTCCACAGGAGCAGAGACCTTAACTCCTTCCACAATTGCCAAAATATTAGCTGACACTTTGTTGGGACTTTGTATGTGCTCATAGTTTTTACTAACTGTAAAATCGGTGTGAGGCAGGGAGGTTGAAGCTGATGTTTGCCCCTCAACATCAGCTAGTGGAAGTTTCCCTGTTGTTTGTATGGGTGTTGGCTGTCAGGGGACTGAAAGCGTACAACGCGTCGGCTCTGGGGGCTCTCATCTCTACTCCACCGACGAACTGGGCTAGGGCTGCGAGTCCGTCTATATTCGTCATTACGATACCTGCGGTCTGAAAAGTTTGAAGCCCTTTCTGATGAGTAATAAGGTCTAACTTTGTCACCTCCCCATGAGTTGTCACTGTCCCCTGTCATTGTGCGATGCCAATCAGTTGACACATCCTTTCGCCAGCTCTTAGATGAATGAGCATTATCAGACTGATGTTGTGGATTATGATATGTTGGTGAAGGGCTACGTGTCACTCTAGGCTGTTGCTTTACTGAAGGAATTTTGTTTCTCTCCCAGAACTCCAAACAGTGTGTAAGATGAGCATTTTTCTCTTGTAGCTGGCGTACATCATTTTTCAGTTCATTCACAGTTATTGTTAATTGCTCCACAGCCTGAAGTAACTTTCCCTCAGTATGATGAGACTGCACAGCGGCCACTTGATTTTGGTTTTGTGTAGACTGAGTTGACCCTGCATGAAGTTGCATAGCTGCACGGGCCCGTTCACAGCGACATGCAACTATAAGGGCTTGATCCATATCTGTTGCACCTTGTTCATGAATTTTTGCTTGCAAAGCTGGGTCCAATCCAGCCACAAAACGTCTAAACTTTTCACCTTCCTGGGCAATAATATCATAGTCAGGAAAAGCCTGTAGGACAAGACGAGTAATATCAGCGCTGAATACTTCTAAACTTTCACCAATTTTCCGAGGGCGAGCATTCACATGAGTTTGGAAAAATGGCAATGACTGTTGAAGCCCAAAAACATGCTTTAGTCTCTCTGTCACTGTGTTGTAGTTAGTCTTTACAGGAGTTGGAAGGCTGTCCCAATACAAAAAGGCAGCATCAGATGGCAGCCGTGTTGGCAACACGGATGATAACATGTTCATCAAATCTGTTCCTTGTGGTGTAATTGCTCTAACAGCCACTTCAAAACGACGAGCCCAACTTGAAAATGATTCAGTGCCATCCCCTTTAAATGCAGCTGGAAGTTCAATGTGTAAATTGCCTGCCACAAAAGGTGCCAGTGGCTGCTGGTTTACGCTGCCACTAGCACTGGATGAACTAGAGGATGAATTGGCAGAAGAGCTGGCAGCAGCAGCAGACTCAGTCTCAGACATACTTTCTGTTCATTTGTTTGTATCTCACCCTTGTGTGGCAAGTCGTGTGGTTGTTCTTCCGAATATTTACACAATTATCACTTCATAAATCCGGTGACACAATCGGAGAGCAAAGTCCAAATGGTGCCAATTTCGCGGCAGTCAAGTTAATAAAACTCCGCGAAAAGCGCCAAAAATGCAAAAATAACCCAGCTGCCACCAAATGTAATATAGGGTTCGAGTATTTTGCGTGACTCACTCTCAAAGTAAATAAAATAAATCACCGGAGACGGCTTGTGAAACGTGACCTGTCTTTACTTCTTTTCACCAGTCAGCGCTTACAAAATGTAACAACCAACCTGGCATTCAGCCAATCAGAATGTACAAAGATGAAGATCCAAGTAAATCTAACATTTCGAACAGTAACGCAGATTCCACACTTTAACTACTATCTATCTGAACATATTTTTAATCTTACATAAGCGAGACGGCTGTGACCGGAGCAAGATTCATGCTGGAAAACCCGATTGATTTGGATGTTGGAACTAATAGTCACCTTAGTTATTCACTGAAACCGACAGATAATTTTATATGAAGTTCGCAAGGTCAAACGGATGGTGACAAAAACATGGAAATGGTATTACAAAAGGCTCTAGACCGTGAAAACAAAGAAAAGCTATCATTGATGTTAACAGCAGTAGACGGAGGAGAGCCTTCGTTGACAAGCACTGTACGTATACATGTTACTGTGCTCGATGCAAATGACAATCCCCCAGTGTTCAGCCAAAGGGTTTACAAAGCTACTTTTGCTGAAATTACACCAAAAGATACCGTGATTGCGTCAGTCAGCGCTTCTGATGCAGATGAAGGTTCGAATGCGATTATTACATATTACATGTCGAGCACTGGAGATGTAAATGATTTGTTTACGGTTGATACACGGAGCAGGGACATACGTTTAAAGGGCTCAGCTGACTTCGAAAAGGCAAGTCGATATCAGTTTAACATACAAGCACGCGACCAAGGAGGACTGTCTGATTCATGTAAAGTAATTATTGATCTCACTGATATAAACGATAACAAACCAATAATAAGCATTGTATCGATGTCAAATTCCATATCCGAGCAGTCTAGGCCTGGCACCGTTGTTGCAATGTTAAATGTAAATGATTTTGATTCAGGAATGAATGGCCGGGTTCACTGCTACCGAAATGACAATATTCCGTTTACTATTGCCTCTTCCAGTAGTTTTTTTAGCTTACAAACGGAGCAAGAATTGGACAGAGAGAAAGAAGCCGAGTATAATATCAGTGTGATATGTAGTGATGAGGGAGTGCCTGCGCTCTCCAGCAGTGTCTCCCTCCGTGTGCAGATATCAGATGTGAATGATAATGCTCCTGTCTTTGAGAAAAGTAACTATGAGGCCTTTGTCGTGGAGAACAACACTCCTGGTCTCTCTATATTTACAGTCAAAGCCAGTGATGCTGACTGGAATCAGAATGCTCGTGTTTCTTATATTCTTGAAGACAGCATTGTTAATGGAGTCTCGATCTCATCATATGTGTCAGTGCACCCTGAAAGCGGACTGATTACAGCTGTGCGCTCTTTTGACTATGAGACACTGAAAGATTTCCACTTCCGCGTAAAAGCGCAGGACGGAGGCTCTCCTCCGCTCAGTAGTAACGTGACAGTGAAAGTTACTGTTCAAGACCATAATGACAACGCTCCTCAGGTTTTGTATCCAGTACAGACTGGCGCTTCAGTGGTGGCTGAGATTGTGCCTCGTGCTGCAGATGTTGGATATCTGGTCACTAAAGTGGTGGCTGTTGATGTGGACTCTGGTCAGAATGCTTGGCTCTCCTATAAACTGCAGAAAGCTACAGACAGAGCGCTGTTTGAAGTGGGTTTACAGAATGGAGAAATAAGAACTGTGCGACAAGTCACTGATAAAGATGCTGTCAAACAAAAACTCACTGTTGTTGTGGAGGATAACGGACAGCCCTCTCGCTCAGCTGTGGTCTCCATTAACGTGGCTGTGGCTGACAGCTTTCCTGAAGTGCTGTCAGAGTTCACAGACTTTACGCATGAGAAACAATATAATGACAGCTTAACTTTTTATTTAGTTCTCGCACTGGCCGCTGTTTCTTTCCTATTCATCACTTGTGTGGTTGTGATAATATCAGTTAAAATCTACAGATGGAGACAATCTCGCTTCCTCTATCAGTCCAATCTGCCTGTTATTCCGTACTATCCACCACATTACGCAGACACAGGAGTCACTGGAACTCTGCCGCACGGCTATAATTATGAAGTGTGCATGACGACTGACTCGAGGAAGAGTGACTGCAAGTTTTCTACTCTTGGCAGACAGAATGTTTTAGTGGTGGACCCGAGTTTCACTGAGACGATGCAGCACACGATCAAAAAAAAAATGTTCCATCGATGGGCTCAGGATCACTAAATCGGTAAGAAATCTCATGCGGTTTTACCATCACCATCAGCTGTACTAGAGGAGAAATAAGAACATATGAATGACTGAGGTGATTGGTTTCCATGTGCTACTAATTTGCAAAACGCAGAATAGTCGCGGATTGCACTATACTGTTGGATTCGCCTCATTCTCTTATTCCATTTTGTCTCATTGAGAAAGATTTCGAGATTTTCAACATGAATTTCGGTAAGTCTGTTTTACTGATGTGTTGTTCTCTGCCATTGTTGTATATCTGGCAATCCATCATATAATACGATTGAAGGCTGTTAACCTGCCATAGGTTCTTTTCTATTCACTTGTTTGCTTGGGAAATGCAGTGAAACTCATTTACTCGTTTTACTTTAGTTTTAAATCTGGATAAATTCCGTAAATAATCATCATTGTTGTCTTAGCCTTACGTTTGAAGTATATGAAAAAATAGAGTATCCTTGATTTAAATGTTTACAATATTCTGGTCACAAGATTAGTTAATTAACTAAAAAAGTTAATTAACACATCGCAGTTTATAAAGGACATGAGAAAAATGCAGTATCGTTTGTATGTATACTATAAACCGGCAAAATTTCTAAATATGGTCAAGTGAATTCCAGGCAAATGGAAAACATAAAGTGATCATAAAAATATAAGGTCACGTTTTGACACATTTCAGCGACACTTATGCTTAACAGCGACTCGTTGGATGATGGGCTTCTCGCCTACTAAAAGGCATATGGTGTTATTCATTAGTTGTGTTGTATTTAGTCCATGCGTTAGAATTTTGTTCCAACTACCAAAAGAGTGTGTGTGTGTGTGTGTGCGTGCGTGCGTGCGTGTGTGTGTGTGCGCGCGCGCGCTGCGCAGTATTTTTTATTCAGTTAACTCTAGGTTCAGGATCATCACAAATACAGGTAAGACTTTATTTTGATGGCCCCTTTTGCACATTTTGTTGACTAACTACGTCTACTTATTATGTTGATACAGCACTTTCAACAGACATTTAACCGACTATAAGAAACTTTTCAAGTACATGTCAACTTACACTAACACTAAACCTAACCACAACCTAACAGTCTACTTATAATCTAATGAAAATTAGTTGGCAACTGAATGTAATGTAACTTAAATTCAACAAAATGCGTAAAAGGGACCATCAATATAAAGTGATACCCAAATATACAACGACATATTTAATTTGCAGTCAGTCAGATTTTAAAATGTTAGTTTCTAAAAAAATTGATTTCATGTTTATGTTGTCAGTTTGATGTAGTTCTTGTTTTATACACATAGGGCCGCTGTTTGTCGACGAACAGCGGAGAAAGCTTTTATTTTCATACCCACCCAACCATCAGATAATGCAGTATAGGCTATTCGAAGACACAGAAAACAGAGCTTTCATTTCTTTATTTCCCTACACGGTTTTTCAACTCAACGCTAGCTGGCTTGTGCGAGTTTATGTCTGCATTTGGAATATCATATTTGAAGAATTCACGGATTAGGTGTTGCTGTTTTTAAACGCCGTATGAAGACAATGCTTGATGCAATGATACAGCACTCGGTGCTGATTTTGACTCTTCTGGTTTACATAGCGCGAGGACAGGTCAGTTACTCCATTCCAGAAGAAATGGCAAAAGGATCGATGGTTGGAAACATCGCGCAGGATTTGGGTTTGGATTTACAACGACTGAAGTCTGGAAAAGCACGAATTTTTTCAAGAGACAGCACAGAATACATCGAACTGAACAGAAACACGGGATTGCTGCTCATCAAAGAGAAAATGGATCGCGAGTCTCTTTGTGCAAAAACAACACCGTGTGCTTTACACCTTCAAATGATTTTGGATAACCCGATGGAATTATACACAATAACGGTGGAAATCACTGATATAAATGATAACGCTCCAAATTTCCAGAAAAGAGACTTTAAATTTGAGATCAGCGAATCGGCGATGGTAGGAGCTCGTTTTATGCTCGGGAAAGCTTTTGATCCGGATGTAGGAACAAATTCACTTCAAAGCTACTCGCTCAAACCGACAGATAAATTCCGGCTTGAATTGCAAAGTCAAGCAGATGGTAGTAAAAACGTCGAGATGATTTTACAAAAAGCACTTGACAGAGAAATGCAAAGCTCGTTTACTCTGCTGTTAGAAGCGTTTGATGGAGGCGACCCAGTGCTCTCTGGTACTGTACAGATACATATTGCTGTATTAGATATTAATGATAACGCGCCTGTATTTATGCAGAAGGAATATAAAGCAACAGCAACAGAAGAGGCACCAAAAGGTAGCATATTAACAGTCGTGAGCGCAACTGATACAGATGAAGGATCCAACAGTGAAGTAACGTACTACATATCGGACACAATGGACAGTGTTATGGCCGATATGTTTCTTGTTAATGAACAAACTGGAGAACTGATATTAAATGGTCACTTTGACTATGAAAAAGTGAGCCACTATGAACTTACGATTCATGCAAAAGATCAAGGAGGTCTCTCTAACGCATGCAAAGTAATTATTGATGTGCTGGATGTCAATGATAATTCACCAAGTATCAATATTCTGTCTAGTTCCCATTCAGTATCCGAAGGATCCAAATTTGGTACTGTAATAGCAATGCTAAATGTTGATGATCTTGATTCAGGTGCAAGTGGTCAGGTTCAGTGTGTGATGAGTGAGGAAATCCCTTTTGTTATTAAGTCTCAATCTAGCAATTTCTTCAGCTTGCAAACAGAGCAGGAGCTGGACAGAGAACGAGAAACTGAGTATAATATCAGTGTGATATGTAGTGATGAGGGAGTGCCTTCGCTCTCCAGTAGCGTCTCTCTTACTGTGCAGATATCAGATGTGAATGATAATCCTCCTGTCTTTAAGAAGAGTAACTATGAGGCCTTTGTGATGGAGAATAACACACCTGGTCTCTCTATATTCACAGTAAAAGCCAGTGATGCTGACTGGAATCAGAATGCTCGTGTTTCTTATATTCTAGAAGACAGCACTGTTAGTGGAGTCTCGGTCTCATCATATGTGTCAGTGCACCCTGACAGCGGACTGATTACAGCTGTGCGCTCTTTTGACTATGAGACACTGAAAGATTTCCACTTCCGCGTAAAAGCGCAGGACGGAGGCTCTCCTCCGCTCAGTAGTAACGTCACAGTGAAAGTTACTGTTCAAGACCAGAATGACAACGCTCCTCAGGTTCTGTATCCAGTACAGACTGGCACTTCGGTGGTGGCTGAAATTGTGCCTCGTGCTGCAGATGTTGGATATCTGGTCACTAAAGTGGTGGCTGTTGATGTGGACTCTGGTCAGAATGCCTGGCTCTCCTATAAACTCCAGAAAGCTCCAGACAGAGCGCTGTTTGAAGTGGGCTTACAGAATGGAGAAATACGAACTGTGCGACAAGTCACTGATAAAGATGCTGTCAAACAAAAACTCACTGTTGTTGTGGAGGATAACGGACAGCCCTCTCGCTCAGCTGTGGTCTCCATTAACGTGGCTGTGGCTGACAGCTTTCCTGAAGTGCTGTCAGAGTTCACAGACTTTACGCATGAGAAACAATATAACGACAGCTTAACTTTTTATTTAGTTCTCGCACTGGCCGCTGTTTCTTTCCTATTCATCACTTGTGTGGTTGTGATAATATCCGTTAAAATCTACAGATGGAGACAATCTCGCTTCCTCTATCAGTCCAATCTGCCTGTTATTCCGTACTATCCACCGCATTACGCAGACACAGGAGTCACTGGAACTCTGCCGCACGGCTATAACTATGAAGTGTGCATGACGACTGACTCGAGGAAGAGTGACTGTAAGTTTTCTACTCTTGGCGGACAGAATGTTTTAGTGGTGGATCCGAGTTTCGCAGAAACTATGAAGCACACAATAAAGAAAAATAGTTCCATTGACGATCTGCAGTCTACGGAATCGGTAAGAAATGAATGGCTAAATTATTTTTGTTAATATTATTACATCTTATTTATTTATTTGTACTTTTTTATTGTTTTGTTGTTGTCATGAAATAAACTCTGTGTATAGCTAAATTTTGTCGTAGACCACAAGCAAATTAGCTTAGAGTATTGACTCATCACATTTTTCATTTAGTCTTAGGTTTTAGTTCCTACATGGATCAGCTTCTGCAAAAGTCAAGGTAAAAAAAAAAAAAAAACTTTTCGACTGATTCCTGTTGTGTCCTTATTACTAGTCAAACTATAAAAACATTGTAACGTTTACTAAGGTTTAAATTCCTATAACTTAACTTAAAAGGAAACGATTTCGTTTTCTCATAGCTATTCGTTGTGCTTAACGGTCATGCAATTTATTCCAGCAAGGAGTTTAGTGTAGCAGTTGCATAGGCTAATATGCTATAAGACTCAATAGAAGTGTTTTTTTTTTTCTCGGCAATGTATTTAAAATGTATTCACGCAAATGAGAAAATACTGATATATATATATATATATATATATATATATATATATATATATATATATATATATATATATATATATATATTTTTTTTTTTTTTTTAACCGTCAAACTGCATTTCGACACATTTCAGCACCCCTTTGCTGAACAGCGCCTTCTATGAGTCCGTCTCTTAACAGGGATGGGGGGCTTATGTGCTGTAGCCTACTTAGAATTACAATTTCCTAAAAATGTCCCTGGTTTACTTTTCGCGTTTTCTTTTCAACTACTAAATAGCCATTAATCTAATTACTGTGGATTTCTTATATCTCGACTCATCTGGGCTGCGTTTCCCAAAAGCATCGTAAGCCTAAGAAGTTCGTAGAAATGATCGTACGACTGATCTTAATATTACGGTCTGTTTCCCAAAAGCATCGTAACTTAAGTAGCACTTGAAATTCTTCGTGGATCTACGAGTGCTCTGGAGTAATCGTAAAGCCTTAAGTGCATCGTAAGGAGACAGAGTTATGAGGGCACCTGCTGGACAACCGGCAAATTGCACCTACAATTTACTTCTCTTCAAAGTCATTATTCAT